CAGATGGTAGAAAGTTTCAGTACAGCACTTAAACTAACACAGACTAGGAGGAAGGAAATTTGACCAGTAAACACTATGAATGCAGAAGAATATTAATATAGTGTCAGAAGATGAGTCTCGAAGCTTGGGAGACACTAAAAATATAACTGGAAAGAATTCCATACTCAAAGGAGAGTCAACTTTAATGAAATGGAGTAAAGCCTTTAAGACCTTAATTTGCTGATGTGGCACAACTCAAAATGAAAAGAAACATCCATTAACAGTTGGATCCAATTAAAATTAAATTCTTGAGAACTTCATCTTTTCTCCATTTGTCATGATATTTTGTATTGGTCTATTTGTGTAGCTTTTAATTTTCTTTATATTGTAGTATATTCATAACGAATGCTATGGTCTTTGACCTTCATCAACAAGTACTTAAAGTCTTCATTTTCTGCAAGCCAGGCTATATCTTCTGTGTATCACATGCTGTTAATGAGTCTTCCTCCAATAATAATGTCACATTCATAATCATATTGTCCGACTTCTCAGATTTGCTCAGCATACAGATTAAACAAATGTGAAGCCTTAGTGCACATCAATCTTTATTTTAAACCATGTGGTATCCTTTTGTTCTGAAAATGCTTCTTGGTCTATGTACAGGTTAAATGTGTAAAACACAATTAAGTGTTCTGGAATTTCCATTTTCTCAATGTTATTGATGCTTTATTATGATGTTGTTGTTTTGTGCCATCAAGTTGACTGTGACTCTATGAACAATAACTCTGAACCCTGTCCTTTTCCAAGGCAATCTCACAATCTCTGACACACCTACTCCCATTACCCAGTCAGTGTGTCAGTCCATCTAATTTGTGCTGACCCTCCACCCTTCTGAGCATGATGCCTTTCTTCAAGGTCCGGTCCCTCCTTTCAACCTGTCAACATATCCAAAGTGCGTAAGACCAGATTTTCAAAATCTTTGTGTTCAGGGAGCTGCCTGTTTTACTTCTTCAGGACAGAACTGTTTGTTTTCTTGGCAGTCCATGTCATATTTAATATTCTTCTCTAGCACCCCAACCCAAAGGCATCCATGCTTCTTCTGTCATTATTCATCATTGTCCAGCTCTCTGACATATAGAAAGCAGCTGTTAAGCCCATGGCCTGCATCAGGCATACTCTAGTCTCCACACTGACATCATTGCTCTTCAGCATTCTGGAGAGATCCCTGACAGCAAACTTTCCCAGTGCAGTTTATCTTTTGATTTCCTGACTGCTGGTGCCAAGAATGTTGATTGTGGATCTGAGCAAGCTGAAATTGTTAGCAATCTCAATCTCTTCTTCTATCATGTTGTTGTTGTTGTTATGTGCCATTGAGTCGTTTTCGACTCATAGCGACCCTATGCACAACAACCCTAAACCCTGCTCTATCCTGCGCCAACCGCACTGCCTCTGACACACCCATCCCGATTACCCCAGTCACCGAATCAATCCATCTCATAGAGGGTC